TAGTACCAGTGGACACTGCCGAACATTTATAGTGGTGGGGTGTACCAACAGACATCCCTTATTCCCCACCACCAGAATTGACCTAGATTAGGTAATGAGTTAACCTGATGAAACTTACTGTAAAATTTCATCGTAGTCAAAGTTATTATGAATGGCCACCGCCAGACAATTCTGATGGTGGTGTGTGTCTGCCAGACACCCCCTTATTCCCCGCCCCAAAAATTAACCTAGATTATCTAGTATTATCTAGTAAGTTAACGTGATGAAAGTAACTGTGAAGTGTTCGGCATTGTGGTGGGCAAAGTGATAGAAAACCCCTTGTCTTTTACGGCCCGACACTGATTACCTGTAAAAAGTAATATTAAAACTGAGAATCAAATGACATAAAAGCACTGCATGAAGGTTTTTGGAAGCACACTTGAAACATCAAAGCTACGTTTCGGCCCTCTGTTAAATCGAAAATTCACTTTGGCCCCCTACTCTAAATAAGAGTCTATTATACTGCAAGGATGGAAGTGTGGGTTAATAAGGGTGGGTGGAGAGCCATGAAATTAGCTTCAGACTGGATGGAAAACTTCAAGTAGTCCTACTAATGCTATATAAATACTATATTATAATCTTTTATTATTTTTAGTAGTCACTATTACAACAGTTTAACAATGAGATTCTATACAGGATTTAAAATTTATAAATGCCCAATATTCAGTAGAGTAGATTTCCCTACAAATTAAAAATCGTAATGGTACTGGGTTTAGGAGTTGTGCTGCAACGAACAGGTTATTCCATCCGTAGAAGCCTTTTGATGAAGAAAGTGTACCTTTTTAGGAAGGGTTGCCTAAGTTAAAACTCACTCGGGCTATAAGAAATTAATTATATGCTTGAATTGTTAATCTTATTGTAAGGAATACTACAGTAACTTCACGTTTAATTTTAATTACAGGTTGAATTATATAAAATTCAAATTAAATGTCGTAAGTATATAGTTTGCCTATTTGCCTAATTTGGTTTAGAAAAATCGAATATCTTTTTTATTACAGGAATGTTTACTTTATCAAAAGGCTTCTACGAAGGGAATAACCTGTTTGAAACTCATGTAAACTAAACCCAGTTCCATTACAATTTTTATTTGTACTGGAAATCTACTCGTACTGAATATTAGGCATTCATAAACTTTTTCATAATAAAAGATTATATAGTATTGTATGATAGGCCTACATTTTACAAATTCAGGGATGTAGTTATGGGGGAGGGAGAGGAGTGGCACTGGAGACACCCAGCCTTGAAGTTTTCCATCCAGTCTAAACCTAATTTCATGGCTCTCCAACCCACCCTTATTAACCCCACACTTCTATTCTTAAAATCCACTCATATTATTTAGAGTAGGGGTGGGCATAAAAATCAATTGGAGGGCCAAAGTAAATTTTCGATTTAACACAGAGGGACGAAAACTACCTTTGATGTTTCATGTGTGCTTCCAAAAACCTTCATGCAATTCTCAGTTTTAATACTACTATTTACAGGTGATCATGAGTGACGGGCCGTAAAAGACTAGAGGTTTTCTATCGCTTTGCCCACCACAATGCCGAACATTTCACAGTTACTTT